GGAGTACAAAAAGTGAAGTCAAAGGCCCCGCACGATGTCCTGGAGGCACAATAGAGCAACACAAAAACGAACGGACTTTCAGTGTCACCACACTAAAACAATAACCGATAACAAAACAATTGTGAACTTTATGACACTGAAAGCATGACTACTCGAAACACAACTTAAAGTTTTTAACATAACCAAATATAATGAAAACATTGATAATTGTTCCACAGCTGGCCGGTCGCACACGAATGCCTGATAAGCATCAGCCGACGAAGGCTGCAACTGTGGAACGCACTGATACGTGCACATGAAAATGATAACAGAAACACACAACATAAATTCGTTTGCAGCGCAAACAATATTTAACCTTTATAGCTAGGTACTTCTTTTATGATTCCGTAGTGATGGATTACTTATTTGTCTTTAAAAATGGATATAATAGTAATACTCATACAAAACAGCTCAAGAGTATAACCATTGTCCATTGATTAAATGTATATAATATACATTATATCGTTAAAATCGGCAAAAAATTGTACGTGTTAATTATATATACGTAATGGTTGCTATTGGTTAAAGGATAAATAATTAGTAGAAATTAAAATTTATTTATTATTGGTTGCCATATTGGTTATTCGGACAGATCAGGTGCAAGCGTTTGCATCAAGAGCAGCGAGTTACACCCAATAGGAGTTGAACAATCATAATTTTTATTAAGAGTTGCCATTTTTCACGGGCAACAAAGTGCACGGGATCAGCTAGCATATTATAATTATATTGTAATAATAGTTCTATCACGTGTTTTGTATTCAGATCAGTGCCAGCGTAATCGAAACCATCAGTGTGATATGTTTCATTTGTATAAGCATTTGGCATCAATATCTCAACAATTTTTTTGGCGAATTCATCATTCAAAAAGTGCGGATTATAATTTATAAGCCTACCTATATAATGTAATGTAGTTAAAAACTTAGTTATTTGTATGTCTATGTACAGCAATTAAGTGTTTACACGGTGTCGTATAACGTTCCTTGGTGGCGATGCAACAAAAGGATACGACAATTACTGGCGTTAATGATTTTGAGATCTATTAAACCAACTTTTATCACAGGATTTTATATGTACAAGTTAAGTTACGAGTCATTCATTTCGGTAAGATTATTTTTATTTTATATATTTTTACCTTCTTTGAAGTCCACATGGATGTTATATGCATATGACTTACCTAGCTAAATATAGTATACCAATATGTCATATGTATAGATCACGGTATAGAGAGGTATCCACCAAGCAGTGGCGTAAATAGGTGGGGGGCTTAGCCCCCTCAAAATCACTCAAAGCCCTCTCAAAAAATAAAATATAATATACCTATATTATAATTAAAAAAAGAGCCTCCCCCCTAAACATTTTTCTTATTTGGGCCACTGTAGTGGTACTTACCAAGTTTTCACAAACTGATTATAACTGTTTATATAATGATTTTCAGTTTTTAAAAGCATTATACACTTACTACATGGTATTGAGGCGAGTCAATGTCAACGACAAAAATGCATGAAGTCAGATTTATACTTAGAAAAAATAGTAGTTTATTTATTAAATCGGTTTTATTTTTTTGAAAAGTAACATTTGTAACAACTTATTAGGTATGATATTTTAGTTACATAATATTGTATATTCTTATTTTAGTTTATTAATTTAGGCATTAAAAGTTTAGAGTTTAGATCATGTTTAATCGTTATTTTTAGTACCTACATCGCATTTATTATTTTTGTTAGGTCTAGTAAAAAATTATAATAAAAAAATCAAGTTTCCTTTCTTTGGTGACCAGTTCATGAATAACTTTGGCAATATTTATTTCTATTGTTATTTTTTAAACTAATTATGTATATATTACAAATCGAAAAGATCGATGGGCCACACCATTATTTTTTTAGTCGGTGATTCGAGCGTGACAAGCTCGAAAAAGATGTGACACCTCGATTCGCATGAGAATTCTACAAATAATAGGTACAACTTGAGTATTTATTTTTACATTTAAGGTAATGTTCTAAAAATAAGTTGAATAAACCTTGATTTTGAAAATTTCAAAAAAATCTTCATTGTGTCATCACACTGAGTACGCTATACTAGTTACCTCATCCATTCCGAAACACCCTGTATAAAACAAGATATGAAGTGTAATCATTTACCATCTAGTTCCATAATCATCAAGAGCCCCACGAAAAATATTGCCCAGGGCCCAAAAATACAGGTTAGTTACGCTGACCTCCGCAGGTTAAAATTTCTACTCAAAACCGGTACCAAAATTTGTTATATAATTTGTACAAATTTGTTAACGCATTTTCAAAATTTGTACACCCCCCTAAAGGTTAGGTATAGTGCCGCCACTGGGTATACTATGTTTTATAACTGTTAAGTTTAAAATAAATATATATATCAACGTTCATACATAATAATATGCAAATATGTACAAAGGAGGGCAAGTCAGTGGATAATTTAAGGAATTATCACTTGGCGACATTAAAAAAACAATTTCAAGCTGACAATCAAAATCAACATATATTATGAGTTTATAAAAAAACTTTTCAGTATTAAATATTATATAAAATAGAGAACATTACCCAGTGGCGTCCGCAGGATTTTTCAATGGGGGGAGGGCTTGAAAATGAGTTACAATTTTATTTTAATTTTTTCCAGTCTAATAATTTCAGACGTTTATTTGAGGTATTTTAAAATGTTTGTAACTTTTCAACTTTTCTGGTAGAAAAAATGTTCTGATCATAATTTTCGATGCCCAGCGTATGTTTTTAGAAGCAAATTGGATCTATAGTTGGTACCTTTAGGAGGTCAAAATTGAAAATGCTCAGTGCTTTTAAAAATAATTGGAGAAAAAAAAATGAAAATTTATTTAAATTGTTTGGTAACACAAGCTTGGTTATACAGTCCTCACATGGATTGTATTTGATTAATTAAATTTTTTTTTCTATAAATGTCAATAAAAAAATATTAATCAGGTCAAAAATCTTAAACATGTAATACGTAAGTTTTTTTATTATAGCTAAAATATTAACGATACATAGGCATCATGGTTATTTTTTATAAGCATTTAAAGTTCAAATTTCATCAAAACCACAGTTAATTTGTAATTTAAAACTTATAAAATATGTATAGCTAAGGCTAGACAATTTAATACAAGGTCTTTTATACAAGTATTTCATACTGATACCGAAAAATTACAGATAATTTATGAAAATTGGTATATGCAAATACAATGTTTTTTCAAAAATGAATTCATTCTGATAAGACATATATGAAATTTACGTCTTGCTTACTATAGTTGACAGTTTAAACTTGATTAATATTTTGTTGAAAAAGTAATAATAATACATTAATACGGCCAATGGGGGGGCTCCAGCTCGTTAGCCCTCCCATGTATTGCGGATGCCACTGACATTACATATATGGCTATATCTAACAATACGATCAAAACTCACAACACATAAATTACAAATAATAATTTATGAGTTAGGTGAATTAATTCTTTTTAATTATAAAAAATGAAATCAATATTGTTAATAAAAGTTTAATTTAATTAACGAGATTTTTTCCATGTTATTTCGTAACATATGTCTTTAGTCTTATGAGTTAATTTATTTTATTGTCAGTTTAAGTTAATTTTATTCTTAAAAAACAATTTGTGATGAATTGAATTTTAAAGAAAATAATAGTAATAATTATCCAAAATATTAAATATTATATATTAACTGATAAATAATAATTTATAATAACTAATAGTTATTATATTGAATATTCACAGAAACTCACAGAATATTAATAATATTACACCAATACCTACGTAATACCATTGATTAGAGATAGGTACTACTATTTATAACCAATAGGACCTACCTAATACAAATACGTTATACCTATACGTATCATGATATTATATATCATTATTAATTATTATGCAAGTATATATTATACTATTATATATAATATTACACATTTTTAAATTTTAAGTTTGATAAATTATGTCAAAAATCGAACTTTAAATTTTAATTGCTTATAAAAAAAAATTGTGACTGGATTTTTAATATTATTCAAATTTCATTGTAAAATATATTATACATTAGGAGCCATGTATTAAATTTTCAAGCTTTTTAATGACACTAAAATTAGAATATAAACAACCAGTGAAAATGCCATGTATATGAGGTCATTTGTTTTAGTGTTACAACAAAAACCAAATTCGATTTATTCGTAAACTTATTTTACGTTACAATTCCCGTTTTTCCTTAATTTGTACCTATGTTGTTTTTCCCGGCGCTTTTGAAAACTATTGGAATTTTAAACTTTGACTTCCCGAATGCCCCAACTAGATTCACTTTCCCATCAAACAACTAACAAGCTGATACTGTTGAAGAAATTGATGCAGTTTTACTGCCCCAAACGGTGGTGACAGACACAACAATTTAAAAACTAAAAATAATAAAAAAACACATCATAGTAAAATCAATTCATATTTTATTAAATCTAAAAGAACTATAAGGGGTCTTGTATTTTTATACAAGCTTTTAAACAGATCAATTGTTGTTGCCTCTAATCATTGCAGATTTTAAGTTTCGTGTATGGTGTACCTACGAGAACCACAATTTTAAACTAATACCCAGCGCAGCAGTGAGTATTATTATTTATTATAATTATTAATTACTTATTATCATTTGTTAGTTAAATATTATTTTATTATTATTATTATTATATTCTTCATTCTTGTTTTATTATCCTCGTCCCTGTTTACCAAATGTCTAATTTTTACCTTATAATACTCAACCTATGTGTGATATGAATTATATTTACTCAAAGGGTGTTTACCCGCTTATAAATAAATAAATGAATAAAAATCTGAAAATGTAAGTTTAATCATAAAAACATAATTTTAATAATAAATAACAGATATTTAGTTGAATACACAGGTGGTTACATAACACATAACATAATATAACACCATGTCAAATTGTAGTCCAAGTTTTCATATGCTTACAGTTTAGACAATTTAATTGATTAGCATCGGAACATCGTTTTATGACAGGACAGCTGCCGCAAGGCAAAAAACTCACAGCGTTTCTGCTCAATAAAGTTTTAGTGGAACGGTACTCTAATTTTCCTTCGGAGTTAACACGCTTTGCTGCCAAACCGTCATAAACCAATAGGTCGAGTATGGATATTATGTCCTCTACGGTGAGTCTCACTTTGCTGATGCCAGTTTTCGATATGAATTCCAGTACCCTGTCGGCAGTCGCGTACGACGTATTATACTTGACTAACGGACTGCGTATAGTAGTGTTCTTTAGGGCTTTTGACTTTTTCGCTTCCAAGAACTTGTAACTGTGTTTGGTGAGTATCTCGATGAACTCTGACTCAAATTCTTGATTAGAGTACCACGCGCCGCCTGTAATAGAGCTGTCCGGTTCCAGGTCGAACAACATGTACACGATTTTTCTGGCGGCTGCCACAGACTTGACGGCCTTGATTGCTTTTTTCGTCTCCAGTGACTTGAGGATCTTCTTGAGTCGCGGCAGACCCAGGTTGGACTTGATGCGCACATCCCGGATCCATATACCTTTTCGGCCAGAGTCACGTATCAGATTGAACACGACCAGTTCCTCGGTGTTGGCGTCCCCGGGGGAAGATGCTGTCGGCCCTTTATATTTGTACCTAAGCGTGTCCTTTACCTTGTGCAGTGTGATCGCATTGGACGTGATCAGCTTGTTAACCACGTCTACGCGTTCCTCGATCGTCAGCACGGGACAGGCCCGGATGAGATCCTCATCGGATACTCCCTTGTTGCCGGAGCATTTAATTATCTCGAGAACGCGCTGCTCGGCGGTTTCCGGTTCCCGAGCTTTCTTGGCCACTGGAGCGACATCTGACAGGTCATCCCTGTGACCACGTTTAACGGCCGCCGACATCAAAGACGGGAGATGGACAAAACGTGTTGAGAGCCATTCAATTCGAATGTAGTTGTTGTAGGAACTATGTGATAATTGATAAGCACAATTTAAGATAACTGTAATCTCGTTATGATATAAGAATACAAAACACCAACCATTAGATACTTGATATTTGTCAATGTAACCAACATATAAACAATAAACAATAAACTTTTAATGATAAGATAATGTTGAGGTTATGTTCCATAGTGAATAATTTTGAAAATCATCCAAAACAAGTATATGATATTATATTATTGTAAATTGTTCATTGTTGTTTAAAATAATAATTTTTTCTTTGCAATTAACAAATCAATTAAACAACTTAGAAAATGTCTCGTGGAACTAGTGCCGGTTTTGACAGACACATAACTATATTTTCTCCAGAAGGAAGACTTTATCAAGTTGGTAAGTCAAAAGTTAAAATGAAAAATATATATTTGTATGATAAATCAACCTAATAATTTTTATAATTTCTTTTAGAGTATGCCATCAAAGCAATATTACAAGGTGGACTTACATCAGTGGCAATTAAAGGAGTTGACGTTGCAGTAGTAGCTACTCAGCGAAAAGTGCCAGTAAGTGTTTACTGCTATTAATTAAATAAAATAATCGGTACTAAAGTGTAAAAATCATTAGTGTGTGCCTTTAAAAGCCTAAGAAAATTTGTTATAATATATTGTTTGATTATATCTAAGTTTTTTGGTTGCATTCATTTTTAGTGCTTTAAAATCTCTGCAGGGATCGCGACTCCTAGGTTTTGTTTCTCGAATTAAACCTAATCATAATTAAGAATACATACATTATTTATTGAAAAAAACGATAGTGTTATAGATAATTAAATATGAATGGTTTTATTTAACATAAACTGTAAATACAAACCTGGCTTAATATTTTAATTTTATCTCAACTATTGGTTGATATGAAATCAATAAATCAGTAGCTTTTCTGTAGGTTAGTTACTTAATAGTTGAAAATCCCCCCCCCCCCCCTTTCTACATAGTCCTAAAAAAAACTATTCTTTTCAATCATTGAGATATTTTTTGCACTCAATGATATGAGTCTCTTAACTGTAGTGATGGGCAATAACATCAATAATTCGATACAATATCGATATTGTTTTATATGTCTAGAACTAGTTTTATCTTCAATTAGCTAGGCAAAGCAAATTTTTGAATTAGTAATTATTAATTTTAATAACTAATATGTACTAAGTAGGTAATATTTTAAGTGTTTATTTTCAATACAATATTGTTATACAATATCAGAAAAATCGGAATGATATTGATACACAAAATTATATCGTTGCCCATCACTACTTAATTATAAATACATAAATACAAAAATACTAATTATATAGTGACTGGTAGACATAGATATAAGTTAATAATTATAACTGTTTTTTTTTTAAATAATGAATTCCAACTATTTAAATCTTAGTTTCCTCGATCTGCACTAAACTTAATTATGTGTACATAACTACCTACAAACAGTGGCGACATGATAAAGAATTTTTTGGGTCAAGTTTCCCATCTATAAATTGGGGTGGGTAGTTAGTGGGTTGACCCATGGATGGGTAAGCGGTTAATGTACATGTATGCAAAAAAGTTATGAAGTTATGTATTATATTTTGTAATCCAAGTATTGACGTCTAGTTAATATTATATTATAATGTAATATTGTAATGTACAATAAGTGTTATTGTTGAAATACGTATCTATACCACTAAAATCCGCCACTAAATAAATATATGTATAGCCCCTTCCAAAATATAAAATTTTTATTGTGCCTTGAGGTGAGTTAAAATATATTATTTTAATAAAAATTTGGGGGTTGGTGGGTATAGATCAAATGGACATGTTGCTGTCCCATTCATGAAAATAGTTCATGCCGCCACTGCCTACAATTATTATAATTTATATTTTTATACATGTTAGGATATTCAGAACTTTATTTAAACTAATATTATAAATATAATTAAATACATTAGTATTATTAAAATATATTTTGTAAAATGTTAACACATTATTTTTAAACCTAGAAACTTTTTCTTTACCAATATTTTATTCATTTCTTCTTTTCAGGATAAATTAATTGATCCTAAAACTGTAACTCATTTGTTCCGGATTACAAAAAACATTGGATGTGTTATGACTGGAATGACTGGTAAATGAGAGTTCTAATTGTTGTGTATATTATTTTAACTTAAATTAATTTTAATCTTAAAAAATATCAAACATGAATTACAATTATTTTATATTTTTAGCTGATGGTCATTCTCAAGTGTATAGGGCTAGAGCTGAAGCTTGTGAATATAAATACAAACATGGTTTTGAAATGCCTGTGGAAACATTGTGTAGTCGTATGGCTGATATTTCTCAAGTATACACACAAAATGCTGAAATGAGACCACTTGGATGCAGTAAGTAAAAATTAAAATAAATATTAAATGTATGCAAACACTATATACTACTTTAACTATGTTTTTCATTTCAAGGTATGATATTAATTGGGACTGATGATAGAAAAGGACCTATGGTGTACAAGACAGACCCTGCAGGATATTATTGTTCATTCCATGCTATTGCAGTTGGAACAAAACAAACAGAAGCTAATACTTATTTAGAAAAAAAATTGAAAAAAAAGAAGGAATACTCAAAAGATGAAGCTATTGAAGTATTAAAATTTTTAATCATTTACAATATAACTGTACATTTTGTTGCTTTTGTTTGACAGTTTTTTTTTTTAAAATACATTTTAGTTGGCCATATCATGTTTGTCAAACGTTTTAGCTGTTGATTTTAAACCTAGTGATATTGAAGTTGGAATTGTGACAACCGAGAACAAGGAATTTGAGTAAGTTTGATAATTAAAAATATGTGTGTATGATAGCAGAGGTTATCAATACCACTTGGAATCAACATTTCATTAGAATAAGTTTTTCTTTTTTATAATAGATTACTTTGTGATATTTTATCAGTTTTCACTATTAAAATTGTGAAATAACTAAAAATTAATCCCTTTAGTGAATTCAATTCTATAATTAATACTTCAATTTATCAAAATCTAATAACTATCATTTTGAAGTGATATGAATTACTATGAGAAATCTCAAAATTGTATCTTATATTATATCCCAACCAGATGTTATTACTTTCCATAATTTTATTTTATAAATTATTGAAATTTGGATGAATTTTTAAGGGATTATTGTACTCTTGTGTGTTGTTCCAATGTAACAGAAAAATCCATTCTATCCTTTTTTTTTAATAGCAGAGAGATTTAACTTATAAAATGTAAAGTTAGGCATATTAACTAGACCTTTGTTAGCACAGGTGTTTTCATTCATTTTTTTGAGAAATAACTAAATAACAAAGCTTTATATACCTATAACTTTGAAAAAATGTCTTGAGAGTATGCGGCGTATAATAATTGTAGTATACCCTACTGGTCGATCTTATTAAAAATTAATTATAACCATATATGCCGATCATGTGAGTAATCATTAAGTTCTTAAACACACCTTTACGCTTTTTATACAAAGTAAAGTAGTTATTAGCAAACAAAAACATACAATTTTCCGATGGAAAAATAATGAAAAAAGAATATTATTATGCTGCATGTAATAATATAAAAAGTATGCCTATACAAATAGTAGTAGATAACCAGGTACTTAAAATTTTTAATGTTGCTCACTTGTTGGAAAAAATTGGCGACCCGTCTCCTATGAGATCACCCCAGCTTATAAGGATCTTTATAACGTTTTAATATAGAAATTATGACCATTTTAAATTTTTTAATTTGAATGTGCTCATTATTTATTTCAAAATCAAATACCATGTTAACCCGTCGTTGGTCTCGTCTTTTTTTTGTACTCCTTTGGTCGCGTGGTGAGAGATTCTCTCACTTTCTTCAATAAGTCTTATAATATGTAATAAACTACCAAAATATATTTATTATATAAATGAGAACTTATAAACTATATATATTTCAGTATTTATGTATATTTTCTTTTTTTCCAAAATACATTACACATAACAATTTTTGTAATTTTTTTTTTTTTTTTTTGTCGCGTATAGAGAATTTCTCTCACCGTGTGCATACGAGTCGTGTTAAACGGATACTGACAGTATATAATCAATTACAAAGTCGTTTAGTGCCCATATATTTTTAGATTATCTGTATCTGATAAGGTATAGTACAACTAATAGGCAATAAACCGATATAACAGACAGTGGTGACCAAAATAATATCGTAATGAGAGAATCTCTCACCACGCGACCAACGACGAGTTAACCCTATGTGGGCCATAAACAATATACTTACTTACCTTTACATTTTATAACAAGTCAATTCACTCTAATATTTAAAAAAAACTGTGTAAAATAGATTCTTCTAAATGTTTTATTAGCTAAGTTATGTATTAGGTAAATGGTTACTACATGGCACACATGCATGTGCAACTTCCTTTTCAACAAAATATATATTTTTAGGTAATCCAATTTTCAATATCATAATAATATTAAAACAACATGTGTTGTTTCATTGTTTCCGTCTTACTTATTACATTATACATACCAAAATTTGTTACCATTCATTTGTGAGTGAATTATGAGTATTTGAACTTATTAAGTATTGATATTCAAAACTTCTCTATTAAATTATGAATCATAACTTACTTAAAAATGTAAAATATTGTTAAAAACCAACCAGAGACATAGGTAATGTTCTTACCTTTAAATTTGTTAATAGGTAAATTCTCTCTAATATTAAAGTTGACCCCACACTAATTGAAACTAATCATGGCTGAGCTTAAATTTTAGTATGTTATACATTAGTAAGACAGAGCTAATACATACGGGTACAACTCGTAATCATGTGGAGCATTCGTAGACAAATATATTTATTATTATTTTTAAAGGGGGGAACTAAAATTGTTCCCATGGTGTTAATAAAATAGCTAAGTATTTCATAGGAAAGTATAGAATAATATTAGAGGGGCTAGCCAATCTCCACCCAATCACCGGAACTTATCTAAAGTACACATTTTAATAAGTAATTTTTTTTTAACACAGGGTCTTAAGTGAACAAGAAGTTGATCGTCATTTAACTCAAATTGCTCAAGAGATTAGCAAGTGCATAAAAAAAAAAATCTGAAGGTATAATAATATTGTATTATTTGTCATGTAACACTTAAAAAAATTAAATAATAAAAACAATAATTCATGATTTTGAATGGTGAATGTTTTCCTTTCCAATAGATTATGTGTTTTTTATTCAATAAAAATATTTGTATATTTTATAATTATATGGCTTAATATATTTTTATATACTGGCTTTATATCACCAACCAAACAACTATCTAGTGTATTTATAAAATTCAACTATATTTGTGTATTTTATTTTACAACTATTAAAATAAAAACTTTCAAATAATCCACAACTCATAGTTTATACATTTTTTATTTTATTTTTAAATAAAAATATATCAAGATGTCTTCTGAAAAAGATTCTGAGAGCAATGATAGATCTAGTACTCGTTCTGGGATAAGTCGTCAATCGTCAATGTTTGGAAATCCGATGGATAAAGTTGTCTGCATTGCAAATGACGATCAATCACATCGATTTGTATATTATACTGCAATGTTAAAGAAGTTTGCTCCCAACTTAAGCAAAGAAAAAGATAAAGAAAAGGTTATACCTTGGATCAGGAAACTATACGCTGCAGAATATGCAACAGAGTTCTTTAAAGTTAAGCGCAACAGATATCTTTTCAATATGATTTTGTCTATTCTCAATGATGAAATGTATGGTGTATTTAAGTCAATTCCCCCTATTGGTCCTCTAAAATCACCGGAAAGTTTTACAATACCTACTATTCCATTGGCTACGTGGGAAGCTGATAACATGTGGGAAGAAATGTTAAAGGACGAAGATATTAACCCGTCCATTTGTAGCATACACGACAAATGTCCCGAAGAAGAAGAAGAGGAAGAAGATGGTGACGACCCCGAGGTAGTTTTGGATACAGCAAACATGTCTCAAGAAGAAAAGGACCAGTTGACTGAAGACGCAAAGGTCAAAAAGGACGGTCCAAAGACCAATAAGAATAAAAAAGAACTGTTTAGTTCATTACTTGATTGGGAATTTCAGTATCTCCTTCATATCGCTCGACCTTATGCTGCCCTAATGACTACTGTACAAGACAAGACCCGAGTGGCGAAATGGTTACAGAAGTTGTGCGGTGTACGCATGGATATCGCGTGTTCACAAATGAAAGGTGTGCGGAACGATTATATGATGGCACTACTGGGCTACTTACACGATTTGCGACTCACTGGACCGTTTGAACATCCTCCGCCTGATGGACCACTGGAAAATTTAGGAAATGCTATGGAAAAACTAAAAGCCGATTATCCGTTAACTGTACCCACACAGTTTGATGTTAATGAGTTTTTGTCTGACCAACCGAAGCCAGCTGACGGAGGTGCCTTTTGTTACATTGCCATTAGCGGTGATTTACAGGCAACAAATTTAATAAAATCAAAACCAGTACAAACTAAAGACTGTCAAAAATAATATCACAAGTATGATAAATATCATTCCAAGAGAATATACATGTTATATTGAATAAAAAATAATAATTGAAACAATGTCTTATTTTATTAATAACGCTTTACAATAAATTTATAGATTTTAGTAAATTGAGATAAAATATTATACAATGTGTCTATGAAGCGCGATATCAAATGTCTTGAGATATCTAAATATCTTATTTTTATAATATCAGTAGAGTGTGTGGAAATCAGGTACAATATCACCATAATTTAAATACAATATTAAAAAATAATATAACTGTTACCTAATTTTGTTTTATTTTATGTTTTAACAAATTAAAATAACAAGAAAACATTAACACAGATTTTAATTCAAAACATACATGGAATTTAATTATTGGTCCTACAGTTTTATTTTCAATTAAATTGAGTAGGCCAAATTGCACCTAGAAATTAAATCAGATTTAATTTGTTACATTAAGCTTTAAACACCTAATAACTTTTTAGCAGCATCAACTATATTATTTATTTGGGGCAATGCAGCAATTTCCAATGATTTGGTATATGGCATTGGAACATCTGCACCGGTCACTCTTATAACTGGTGCATCTAGGTGATAGAAAGCCTCACCTAAAATAAATAAACAATATTTTGTTCAAATAAATTCAAAACATGATAATAGTGCTTTTATATCTTACTCTCCATAATTTGAGCAGCTATCTCTGATCCAATACCAGCATATGGCCAACCTTGTTCTATAGATATAATATGATTTGTTCGAACCACTGATTGTATAATTGTATTAATATCAAGTGGTCTTAATGAACGTAAATTTATAACTTCCGTCTCAATCCCAACTGAAGATAATTCTTTTGCTGCGTCCAAAGCTAATTCAACTCCCTTGGAGTGTGCCACAAATGTGATATGGTCACCTTTAAATAAAATTAAAACAAATAATATTAATTCTAACCAAAAAAACATAATAATTTAAGTTTTACCCTTTCTTTCAATCTTTGCTTTTCCAATAGGTAGTACAAAATCTTTGTCTAATACTTCATCTGTAATTGGATATTGATTACCATATAATAATTCATTTTCTAAAAACACAACTGGATCTGGATCTCGGATTGCTGCCTTTAACAATCCTCTAGCGTCCTCAGAACTGTACGGAGAGATAACCTAGTTACAAATTACATGATTATAAATTATAATATAATATAAAACTATTTATAACTAATATCATGTATATTAGTATATACCCAGTTCAAAGACACTGAATAAATAGTTATCTAGGCAAACAGGCATTGATATTAATATATTGATTTACTTTTAAACCTGGACATTGACTGTACCAAGCTCCGAAACATTGAGAATGTTGAGCAGCCACACCAGCTGCTGCTCCATTTGGTCCTCTAAACACAATTGGTACATTTACCTAAAATTTAATTTTTTCAAATAAAATAGACTTATTCAAACTAGTATGTAATATCTTAAGAAGGTATCAACCCACTAATGGTTTTCTCTCTCTGAAATACAGCAACATGGACAAAATGCATACATGCAACACCTTTTTATGGATTTTGAATTATCTTAATGTAAAATAATGAACAAATATTATAGAGTAAAATTTTGAAAGTTTTGATCAATCAATTCAATGCTTTTATTTATTTTTTGGCTTAGCATGAATTTTAATAATAAAATTTTAAATTTAAATAGCTATTGAGTTTTGTTGGTGCCTTATTTAGATAAAATTATATTTCTTACTCTTAACTCTCACTGTTAACAGTGTCTACAATTTAAATAAATTATTTTACACTAGGATAATTTAAAAACAATTTAGTTTTGGATGTGTCTTATCTTTAATGAGCATGGGTCAAAGAAAGAAAACAAACAGTGAAACCAAGCCCGGATGAAGAAGGTCATGGCTCCGGGCCCAGAACAGATAACAAACAATAGTGGGCATTTGGAGCTAAACAAATTTCATTTATGTTGTTTTTGTACAAAAAGATATACTGTTGTCAGTTGAAGTCATATACTCATACAACTTGACAATTGGCACTGTCTGGGTGTTGAAATAACATTATCATAATGGGGAATATTAAAGTTTTTATGTTAGTGTTTTGTTATACAAATATTAGTACTATTAATTAGTACTTTTAATGTTATAATATCAAAATTTTTGTTGTCTTTAAAATACATTTATTTGTGGGTCCTCAATATTTTTAGTATGTTTATGGGCTCCTTAATGTGTTTGGCCCTTGACCCAAAATTATCCTAATCCAGGCTTGGATGTGGCACCCTATTAAAATTAAAATTAAATAATAATAATATTCAGTAGTTTGCTTATTACAAAATTATTAATTTTATTACCATGCCAGCAGACATGTAAAAAGTTTTTGCAGCAGAATTAATAACATGGTCTATGGCTTGCAACGAAAAGTTGAATGTCATGAACTCACAGATTGGTCTCAAGCCAGCCTAAAAACAATAAAATAGATGAACAAGGAACTTTCCAATATAAAACACAATAATATCTCCATAATGGAATTTTAAAGTCGTAAAAATTACTACTTAAATTAAATGTATTACCATTGCTGCTCCAACAGCAATTCCAGCAAATCCAATTTCTGTAATTGGGGTATCAATCACACGTTTTTCCCCATATTTTTTGTACAATCCCCTAGAAACTTTATAAGCACCATCATACATTGCTACTTCTTCACCTAAAATGAAAACCCTTTCATCGCGTTCCATTTCATCATCCATTGCCGAATTCAGTGCATCTCTAACAGTCATCTACAAATAGAAAATATTACAGCGGACAGTTAAATCAATTTTTATTAGTTATATTATAAACCATAGTTTACCTGTTTATTAGCCAACACCCTAGTTGTGTTTAATGATCTTTTAAGTATTTTTACAGTGCTCTGAAAAATTATATAATTTTAAAAAATATGCCGCTAGAGATACAACAGCTTCATTGGCATGGATTAAATACATAGTAATAGATATAAATGACAGTGACACAGGTTTTTTGACAAATTGATTTTATAATATGGGTTTTAAAATCAATAGACGACAGGCATCGCCTATCTAATATCGATATATATATCTATATCTAATATTTGAATTTAGTAGTATCAGGGTGTGACATTGGAGTGAATTAACTTAGTAGTTACCGTTAAGACCGAAGACTTGTGGAAAGAAATCGTGAAAGCCATTTTTAGTATTGTGGATGCAAAAGTAAATTATTAACAATTGTTCGACACAACCGGGTAGAGACGAGCTGTGTAGGCGAAGAAAATCGAAACTTCACCTTGGCGGGCAACACGAACGGTTTCGTGAAGGGCAAGGGTTAAATTTTTTTTCCACTTATACGGACAACGAAAACATTAATCACACGCCAATATCATAACGCCATAACTACAATAATAATAGTAATAATAATGGTCATAATTTGATAAGTGGTTACCGCATACCGCGTAACGGGCCGATACTCGCGGTATACAAGTCGTTGAGGTTATGTCAGAATTTGGAATTTTTTTTTTTTACGCCTCTCCGTCATCCAGTGGTGCCAACCGTACGGTCCCGGTTGGGGAAGTACGGTAATTTGGCCTCCCGTACGGTCCACGGACGGACCGGTCAAAATTACTAGGAAAGTACGGTAATTGCAGGGTTACCATACGTACGATAAATATTTTAATTTTTTTTCGTATACCAACAATCTTGAATATCTCCAATGTTTATAAGATAATATAAAATCATATCTTATTCCGTACTCCGTGATTATCATCATTGTGGTAGATCCCAGTGATATCATGTTATATAGTTTTGTCAAAATTACAATTAGGATAAGATAAAATGCGCCTTTATTGAATTTTTGGGGTTTTATATTCTCTTTAAGGTTTTTGACCTTATTTTACTTGTGTGTTTTTCCCCACGATCTATTTTTGCAATGTTTTACTCCACAGTGGCAAACATTTAACCTATAATACTTTGTTGTCGCACATTTTTTTCACATCAAAACGAGTTACTTTTTTTTGTTTAGTCGATTATCCGGTCGTTTTATATATTTTTTATTATGATGTTTAATGAAAGTGATGATGACATTGATGCACCTTCGACTTTATTTATTATCGTACGGTCCAATACGGTAATTTGACAAAAAGTATACGTACGGTCCTATACGGTAATTTGACAAAATGTATACGGACAACGGACTTTTACATGTTGGCAACACTGCCGTCATCGGACGTGGACCAATGAGAAGGAGACAAGTGATTGGTGGCCGACCAATAACAACAGCCCACATGTCTGTATAACTGTATATAGATATGAAACGAAGGCACCAATTCGTCAGTTTTCCGGTGTTTCGTTTCTCATTCTTGTTGGTATTGCGTTAGTGTTCGGTTATTCCTGTTTCTTATTAACCACTTCGTCAGACTACTTGCACTTCGCCATCGTCATCAACGACGCGATTCCGGTTACAGTTCGATACACAGTTTAACATTTATTTTATAAACCACCCGTTGTAATTCAATTCGAGTTGCTGTCATAGTTTTGGTAAATATATTTTGTTTGCTGTTAAATATCTCTCGGTGTTCATCGAATAACGAAATTAACTTTGATAATATACATTATTGTGAATGGCGAATAGAAACGTAACTGTTTTTTTTTTACAGACATTCAAACCTGGGCATGGACCACCGAAAGTCCATTTGTGCTTTTTGGGCACTGTTATTCTTAGTCAGCCCTATTGTGTCTAAGGAAGGATCAAAATCCAAAGATGAACTCGGTACCGTTATTGGAATTGATTTGGGCACAACGTATTCATGGTAATTATAACTCATTAATTTGTTTACTTATGTTAAATTAAATTAAACTATTTATTTTAATAGTTTTTTGATTTATCTGCAAAACTGTAACTATTCCCATTTTGTTGTTTGCTATTACTTGAAATAAACATTTCTATAACTTTGCCATCAAACCATATGTTAGGTTAATAAATAATTAAATATGTAATTAATATTGAATATTATTTAGTTATAACTAGTAATTCATCGTTTTATGTCATCTATAATAAATTAATTTTGTTTTTGAATAGGTTTCTAACTTTTATTTGAACACTTAACCTGAAATAAATATGTGACATCATCAAAAATATTGTACAGGTGGCGCTTTAGGAAAACATGGAATTGGATTATTTTTTCTTTTTAAGATTTTTATGTTCTCGATTCTAAATTTCATTTAATATATAGTAGACAGGTTATGATTTACATTTCGAATAAAATATTTTTTCAATTAACCTAATTTTAGTAAGGTATTTTTTACAATTGAGTATTAATCGGTTTTACCTTCCTAGACATATGTCATTTATTCTTGATATAATTTAAATATTCAAATATTGTTAAAATGTAGATAAGGTATTTCTTAATAATAATAATTATTATATTTTTATTTATTACTATATTTTTGTCTTTTAAATTTGGATAATTGAACTCTCTTTAAACTCTGGCATTCAATGCAAACATTCGTTTTTATCTATAATATTGCTATTCTTTAAATGCCAATATAATTTTACTTTTTCCCAACTTGAACAGTGCTAATATAATAATTAATATTTAGTGTTGGAGTGTATAAAAATGGACGAGTAGAAATCATAGCCAATGACCAAGGTAACAGAATTACTCCATCATATGTTGCATTCACCAAAGAAGGAGAACGTCTTATTGGTGATGCAGCTAAAAATCAGCTTACTACAAATCCTGAAAATACAGTATTTGATGCTAAGCGATTAATTGGTCGTGATTGGTCTGACGTCAATGTTCAACATGATGTTAAATTCTTCCCATTCAAGGTAATTGTTTACATTTTTATCCATTTACTATAACTTAGTATTCATATTTTGTGTTTTTTTTTTAGGTGGTTGAAAGAAATACTAAGCCTCACATTGAAGTTGAAACTATTGAAGGTACATCCAAAGTGTTTGCACCTGAAGAAATTTCTGCCATGGTATTAGCAAAGATGAAGGAAACTGCCGAAGCCTACTTGGGAAAAACTGTAACACATGCAGTCGTCACTGTACCCGCTTATTTCAATGATGGTCAACGTCAAGCTACAAAAGATGCAGGAGCTATTGCTGGTCTTACAGTCATGAGAATCATAAATGAGCCAACAGCTGCAGCTATTGCATACGGTTTAGATAAAAGAGAAGGAGAAAAAAATGTTCTTGTATTCGATTTGGGCGGTGGTACCTTTGATGTATCTTTGTTGACAATTGATAATGGTGTCTTTGAAGTAGTATCTACAAATGGAGATACTCATTTGGGTGGAGAAGATTTTGATCAAAGAGTAATGGATCATTTCATTAAGTTGTATAAGAAGAAGAAGGGTAAGGACATCAGAAAAGATAACCGAGCTGTTCAAAAGTTGAGACGTGAAGTCGAAAAGGCCAAGCGTGGTCTTTCTGCCAGTCATCAAGTGCGCATTGAAATTGAAAGTTTCTTCGAAGGAGATGATTTCTCTGAGACTCTTACTCGTGCCAAATTTGAAGAACTTAACATGGATTTGTTTAGATCTACCATGAAACCTGTTCAAAAAGTCATGGAAGATGCTGATATGAATAAAAAAGATATTGATGAGATTGTATTGGTCGGTGGTAGTACTAGAATCCCTAAAGTACAACAGCTTGTTAAAGAATATTTCAATGGAAAGGAACCATCACGTGGTATTAATCCAGACGAAGCTGTAGCTTACGGTGCTGCTGTTCAAGCTGGTGTTTTGTCGGGTGAACAAGATACAGATGCAATCATTCTTTTGGATGTAAATCCTTTAACTATGGGTATTGAAACAGTTGGCGGAGTTATGACTAAATTGATTCCACGTAATACAGTTATACCGACGAAGAAAAGTCAAATTTTCTCCACTGCTGCTGACAATCAAAACACTGTAACTATTCAAGTATTTGAAGGTGAACGACCAATGACCAAGGATAATCATCTTCTTGGAAAATTCGATCTTACTGGAATACCACCAGCACCTAGAGGAGTTCCACAAATTGAAGTTACATTTGAAATTGATGCTAATGGTATTCTGCAAGTAAGTGCGGAAGACAAAGGAACTGGTAACCGAGAAAAGATTGTCATTACCAATGATCAAAATAGGTTAACTCCAGATGACATCGAACGTATGATCAAGGAAGCTGAGAAGTTTGCTGATGATGACAAAAAGTTGAAGGAACGTGTAGAATCTAGAAATGATCTAGAATCGTATGCATACTCGTTAAAGAATCAAATTGGTGATAAAGAAAAATTGGGTGGCAAGGTAAGGATATTTTTTTTATTGATATTTTTACATTTTTTCTCATGTATCTTTTTCTCTGTGTTTAGTTGTCAGATGCTGAAAAAACGAAAATGGAAGAAATTATTGATGCTAAGATCAAATGGTTAGATGAAAATCAAGATGCTGACCCTGAACAATACAAAGCACAAAAAACCGAATTGGAGAGTGTTGTCAACCCAATCATATCAAAATTATATGCTAGTACTGGTGGTGTTCCTCCTCCACCTGCCGGAGATGCTGAAAAAGATGAACTTTAAAAATGGAATAATTTATAAATTTATTTATTGTATATAAGACTGCTAAGGTTTTACTTCCTTTTGGATTATGTATGTTAAGCAGTTAGGTTAACAATTAGCTAATATATTTTTTTCTATGTATGTAATTCATCATTTTATAAATGGTTCGAGTTATTTGGTTTTTTGTACAATAAACATTTAAAATCCATTTGATAACACCGTTCATTAAGCAGAATTAATTTTATTTTTGAAATTCTGGCGGCAATGTGTACAAATTATATTAACTATATTAAAATTAATTCATTTGAAACAATAAATTAACATGTTACACTGTTTAGAAATACTTAAAAATGTATGATTAATTACCTTTCATGACAAAATAATAATATTTGTTTGAGGTGTGTACTTAATATATTCTATATTTTTTATAGTTAAGTTTGATCTTATTTCTAACTGAAGTTTAACTTGTACAAGTAAATTATAGCATATAAAGTATTCATATCATTCCTGGAGTAGGTATTGTAAGGATGTATGGTTGAAAATAGCATTGTTAGCACTGCTTACACTTTAAAAAATTATGAAAGAAAGTTTTTTTTTAATAATACCAAGTCAAATAAATAATTGAATTAAAGTTATCGGTTATT